GTAATAGCCTTTGGGGTTATTTTTAATGTTCCCTCTCCTTCACTTCTCATCTCATATCTAATCAGTTTCCAAAGCTTGGTAATCCCATATCCACGACACCTCTTACCTCCATTTCCTCTTCTTCTCTGTTTCCACAATTAACCATCCTAAAATGTGCCCTTGTGCATACCTCCCTAAGTTGTGGCACCAGCCTTATTAGCAGATCTTTCCAACTCTGTTCCCTTCCTCATCTAATCTGAGTCTGGTAGCATTCCCAGAATACTTTTTATCATTCAGAGATCTAATAATGCCATTCCTCCGATCCAAAACTTTTCAGTGGCTCCTTAATACCTCTCAAGTAAAAATCAAAATGGCCAAGTACACTCTGCCATGACTATCCTCTCAGCTCTGCACTCCAGTGAAACTGGGCTCTCTGCAATCCCTTTCCCCTGTCTTAGCATGTTCCATATTCTCCCAACTTGATATTTACAGTTTTTGCGTATTCTATTCTCTATACTATAAATATCCCTTCCCCCTCCCCCCCACCCTGAAGGTGTTTGCCATGTTTTATTAGCTCTGTATTTCCTCCAGGGCTAAGTGAAGTGATCTGCACATACTAGGTGTGTGCCTTTTGTAGAGGGATCATAGATTCGAGCTCAAAGGTGCTTAAATGTTTGTTGTTTCATGATTTTAAAGAGATCTAGGTTCCAGACAGAATTCCATAGTGAGATGGCTTCATTTCTCTCCCAGAAATACTTTACTCCAGACCTGGAAAACCTTGTAAATGTGACAGGGTGAGACCCATCCCTGTGCCTGAGAAAATAATTCAAAACACATGGCCTACTGATTAGGGGGTCAGTCTCAACTTCCTTATATGTGGCAGTTGGTAATATCCTCACTTTTTTAAGGTTAAGGACACCAACAATGTTAAGAAATTTGTTTTCTGAACTCTGTCTTTATGACAGCTTGGCTCTAGCCTATGTTTCTAGACTTATAACTCCTTCATCATATACTATGCATTCCAGATAAAATAGTACATGCTGTCCCCTGAACTTGGCATTTCACATTCCACCTTTATGTCTTTGCAGAGGCTTGCCGAGAATGCCCTCACCTGTCACCACTTAGCTTCCTTCAAGTCTCAACTGAAGTATCACCTTCAACAGAACTCTTAGCTCATTCCCAAATTTGTTAGTTTTCTCCCCCCCCCCAAATTATTAGGTGCTTACTTATCTGTGGAATTATATTCCTCCAATACAGTCAGTGTAAGCTCTTTGGGCAACTAGGCAATGGAGTGGATAGAGTGCTGGGCCTGGAGTCAGAAAGACTCATCTTCCTGAGTTCAAATCTGGCCTCAGACACTTACTAGCTATGTGACCCTGGGCAAGTCCCTTGACCCTGTTTGCCTCAGTTTCCTTATCTGTAAAATGAGCTGGAGAAGGAAATAGTAAATCACTCCTGTATCTTTGCCAAGAAAATCTCCAACGGAGTCGCAAAACATCAGACATGCCTGAACAACAAAGCTCTTACAGGAGTTTACACGGTTTACAATTTGTTTCATCTTGTGAATCAGGACAATGCCTCGTACCTACTAGGCACTTAAGTGTTTGTTCTTGCTGTTGTAGGACCTAGGGCTCTGGAAACCTGTGTCAAAGTAGTTAGACTTCCAGTTAGACAAATTAGTAAAAAAAACTTCAAGGGAAGGGAAGGGAAAGAGCTCTTCTTACCCTGTAAGGACCGGCTCACAGCTAGGTAGAGACGCTCATCCACAAAGGTTGGCCAGCACTGATGAATTTTTTTTTTCCAGTCATAGCAACTCAGGAAAAAAAACCCCAAAAAACCAAACATCACTGAGATGCTGAGCTGCAGAAATCCTCATCAATGAAGGAAACAAATAGTGATGCTAATGAGATTATGGATCCATGCATGTCCTGTGCACATGAGAACTCCGGCAACGTGATTGCTTTTTAGCTACACTGAACTAGTCCTGAAATGGGCATATTGGAAATGTGATCCTGAGAAGGCCCTCTGTGTGGCTATCAGTGTGTCCTTCACTGCCAGAAGCTGTCTGGGGAGCGTGTGAAGCGAGCGCTCAGTCTTCCGCAAGTCTGCACATGCCCTGATGTGCTGGGGCCGCTCTGGTAATTAGGACACACTGTGAAAGCTGTGCTCAGCGGCACTCAAACTCCAGAGTCCACGGTTTTTATTTTCTGTTTCCAACACTCTGGGCAGTGAATTAAAATGAGAATAAATAAATAGTGAAGAGTTTTGAAACAATCCAGCCACTCTTGATAGCTTCGTTTCAAATTTTGTATCCCAAAGGGTACAAGGAAAGGGGTTGTGAGAAAAGACAACCATAGAAGATCGGAGGCTTATGTTAACGTCAGCTCCTCTTGTCCTTCACCCTCCACCCTGGCTGAGGTTCTGTATGTGGTTAATGTCTTCTCATTCATTTTATCCTCAAATACTACATGGATCGGGGCAGCTAGGTGGCGCAGTGGATAGAGCACTGGCCCTGGAGTCATGGAGGACCTGAGTTCAAATCTGGCCTGAGACACTTACTCACTAGCTGTGTGACCCTGGGCAAGTCACTTAACCCTGATTGCCTCACCAAAACCGAACAAGTACTATATGGATATAAAGGGCTTTCTGTCCCTCTAACCTCAATATCCCAGGGTTTATTGATTGCTTACTCCTGGCTATGTGGTCTAATGGGAAGAGCAGAACTAAAAATTCTGTAAATCTTTGATAGTTGATCACTAACGTCAGGCATGTGTTGATAAACGTTTAACAACTAGCTGTCTTGGGGAAAATTGTATACAACACGTTTTAAAGACTAACCTGAATTATTAACATTTCCCTCATCCCTTTCTTAAGTCAAGACAATCAACAAAGCAAAATTTCAAGTTCTGATTTGTGGCATTTGCCAATTTCGGAGGTATAAATGCTCACACCGAAAATTTAACAATTGGCTGTCTTGTAACACCCCTGGATTTATATAGTGCTCTAAGGTTTGCAAAGCACTTTACAAATATTATCTTGTTTTATTAAGCTTGGGGAAGCGAGCACTCTCTGGGTCTTAATTTCCCTATCTTGAAAAATATATATATCATACTACTGCATCACAGGGATGTTGTAAGGGTCACAATTGGCAGATGAGTGGTGTAGTGATGTCACTAGAATGCTAGATTTGGAGTCAGGAATACTGGAGTTCAAATCCAGCCTCAGATACTCGCTGTGTCACTGGGCAAGTCACTAAACTACTCCCCTGCCTTAGTTTCTTCATCTACAAAATGGGGACAATACCCACTTATTAGTATTGTTTTGCAGCTCAAATGACTTAACAAACACATATGAAGCTTTGTAAACCTTAAAGTACGTTGTAAATACTATCTATTGATATTATTAATTAGTATTATTATCACCATGTCCTTGTCTCTCTCTCTCTCTTCTCTCTCTCTCTCTCTCTCTCTCTCTCTCTCTCACACACACACACACACACACACACACACACACACACACACAAATGATGTGAAGAGCAAAAAGGTTTACCTGAATTTAAGAAGTGTTGTTAAAGGTGGGTTCCCAACCCCACAAAGCTTCTATCATGTTTCTTTTTTCTCTTGAAGGGAAATAATCATTTCACCTTCATCAAGGCAGTGTAGTGTGGTGGAAAGAGAACTTAGAGTCAGGTGACACCTGGGTTTGAATCCTGCTTCTGATAATAGCCAAGTGGCCATGGGCAAGCCACCTGGTCTCTGGCCTTTGGCTTCCTCATTTATCAAGTGTGGATGATAATATTGTATAATACTGGCCTCTCACAGGGCTGCCATGAGGATCAAATGAAAAAAATGGCTGTATGTACAGGGCTTTAGAAACCTTAAAGTACTATATAAATGTCAGCCACCACTATTAATGAAGCCTTCTCTATGTATTAATAGCACCTCTCTTTCCTTCTTTCCTTCAAACAAGGGCTGATTCTCTCAACTGGTTGGACATCTCTGCTGCCTCCTGTGAAAGTTGTACACTTAGATTTTTGTAAATTAACAAGAGGGAAATTTGTTCTAAACTGGTTGTTCACAATGACTGTCACAGCAAGATGTAGAAGCTTTTCTTCTCTTTTCAGTAAAAGCAGACCAACGTAAGAGCTTTCTCTAGGGTCACCTGTCTGAACCAGTCTCATCTGGGAAGTGATTGCATGTAGATTGATTCCTTCCATAGGTGAATTTATTAAAAGTGTGTCAATGACAATTTGTATTGACACAGTACAGTTAATGTTCTTCTGGTTGGAGAGTAGGAGCATTTTGAGCTGAAAGCCATCTTGGAAATCTTAAGATCATTTGTTTACAACTGGAAAGAACATTGGAGCCTATCCAGTCCAAACCCATGACTTTTCAGATAAGGAAACTGAGGCCCAGACATGTGAACTGACTTGACCAAGGTGGGAAAAATGGGAAAGGGGGAAGGAAGAAGAAATTATCTAGTCTAGTCACTTCATTTTGCCTAAAGGGAAACTGAGCCCAAAGAAGATTGCCCAAGGTCATATACAGGTTTTATATAACAGAGCTGGGGTTCAAATCCAGGTCCTCTAACTGTAAATCCAAGGCGTGCTTTTCTGCTCAGACATACTGGACAAAAAGTCTCTTCCATCTAAGTAGAAGAAAACCTGTGACTGCTGAGGTGGGGTGGGGTAGAGTGGGGGTGGGGGTGGGAAAGGGGAAGAGTAAGGATTCACTAGCATATTTCTAAGTCTGCCTGAGTTTGAGGCATACTGTCATTTAGGTGAAACCAGAATTGTAAACTTAAATTTGATTATTTACTGACATCTCTCCCTGACTACCCAACACACGCACACACACACACACACACACACACACACACACATATATCCTGGACCTTATAACCTAAACTTGTAATGAGATCCTCTTATTTGTCCTCTGCAGCAGTTTTACTTTTCGGGCAGGAGAAATCCCATTAACCCTTAATCTTGGCTGATTGCCTTTTTTTCTCAATCATTTCCCCAGGCACATATGCTTCCATCAAATGAATGCCCCTCTCCTTTGGTTGCATCCTGGATTGGCTGGAGCCTGACAGGAGTCTGGGATGTCAGTCTTAGAACGCAGACTTGTCTGTTCTCTCTCTCTCCCTCTCTCCTCTCCTGTCCTCTCCTGTCCTGTCCTGTCCTGTCCTGTCCTCTTCTCTCCCCTTTCCTCCTCCCTTCTCTCTCTCTCTCTCTCTATCTCTCTGTCCCTTCTCTCTGTTTCTGTCTCTCTGTCTCTTTCTTCCTCTTTCTCTCCTCCCTCTCTATTTCTTTCTCAGAGCTGGCTTCCCTGGTGAGTAATAGTTGTACTTTGGCAGCTGTGCTACTGAATTTGAAAAGAGCTCTGAACTTGAGCGAGCTACATGCTACTTGGGGCCTAATGGCTCTGAACAAGAGAGGGCTGAGGTTGGCAACAGAGACGGGGAGACCTGGTCCTGCCTGGACGGGGCTCACAGAAGCCCATAGCAGTAGGGCTGTAGACCTCGGCTTCAAACAGTTCTGCTTCCTGCCCACATTTTCTTGCTTGTGTGCATAACCCGAAGGACCACACACCAACCAGAGAAGCAGTTCAGAAAATATTTGAGGAAATAAAATGTCACCGGCCAAGCAGGACTTGTTCACATAAAATGTTCCCTGTCTGTGTGAGGGTGGGGGAAGGTGGGGGGGGCAGTAGCAGAGATGTCTTTGGGATTTATAAGAACTGCTATTTCTTCCCACTCATTCCCACCACCAGAGAGTTGAGCTGGTCTGTGTTGATGAGTTAGGAGGCGGTGTGATGGTGTTTGGTGGGAGAGAACAAGAATGGGTTGCTGTGTGGTTGGGAGGAGGACAGGGATGGGTAATGGGTGGGTGGGAGGAGGACAGAGATGGAGTGGTGTTCAGGTAGAAAAGGAGAGAAGAGGGGTTTGGATGGAGAAGTGTGGAGGGGAGGGGAAGGGAAGGCAGGGGCTTGGAGGAGGTGAAGCATATGGCCCAAATTTTCCTTGTGAATAACGAGTGTAGTCAAAGTTAGCACAGATCCTGGCAAAGAGGGTCAAAGATTAAGAGCTGGAAGAGACCTTAGAAATATTGCCCAGGGTTTCTTAAATTTGGGTCAATGGAATGACCTCATAGAGTCTGTGAATTAGCATTTTACTATTTTGACAACAGTATTTCATTGTAATTGGTTTCCTTGGTAATCCTATGCATTTTACTTTATGCACTTAAAAAAAATTATTCTGAGAAATAGTAGACTGCCAGTAGGGATCCATGATACCAAAAAGATTAACTTCTAATCCAACTGTCTCATTTTGCATATGTGGAAACTAAGCTCCAGAGACACTAAAAGGCTTTCACAAAATCACACAGGAAGGAACAAAACTGGGGTTGAAATCGAGGTACTCTGAGTCCAAATCCAGAGCTCTATACAAATAGTGGGGACTTCATAAATTTCTGTTGAATAAATGAATGAATGGATGAGCACATGCTATCCCAATCATCTATGATAGACCAGTACATGCTTAAGAATCTTCTGGCTTTAGGTCCTGTCGGCCAGAAAATGGTTCATAAAGTAGAATACTCTAGGTCCTCCCTCTTCCCCGTCCCCCGCAACCCTCCCCCCTCCCTGCTGTCCAGAAATAAATGGGAGGAGGGGAGAATTGGAGCTTATCTCTGGAAGCCAGTGTTGCATTCAGAAGTTGTTGTTGTTTGTCCTTCGTTCTTGAAGAGGACCATGACATCAGGAAGGAGATGCCATGACATGCAAGTGGACTGGAATTAAGTGAGGGAGGGCTGTGCAAAGTCACCAGCCTCACTCTCTCCTCTGGAGCCATCTGGGTCCGGTGGCAAGATAGAGATGATGACAACTGGAGATGGCCCCCAGCTGCATTCAGAAGATTAGTTGGCTATAGGGACAAAATGGCATCCTAGGTAGAATATTGCACTTGGAATCAGGAAGAGTTGGGTTCAAATCCTGCCTCAGACATTTATAAGCTATATGACCATGGGCCAGTCACATTTTATTCATTTTGTTTTATACATACAACCTCCTGGAGCTTATCTGTAAAGTGAGGATGATCATATCTGCAGTACTGACCTCACAGGATTGCTGTGAAGTTCAAAAATTGTTAATATGCAGCATATCCCAAAGGTCTTAGTGCAGTTTTAATCTTTAATAGCTTAAAACTATTTAAGCTTTAAAAGTTTAAAACTGCACTGAGACTCTTGGGATACCCTATATGTAAAGCAATGCGTGACTCTAAAAGTGAGAAAGAAATCCCAGATACCGCTGCTGATATTTCTATTGCTACCGCCACTATTACCACTACAACCAGTACAGGTACTGCTACTACTACTACTACTACTACTACTACTACTACTACTACTACTACTACTACTACTACTACTATTACTACTACTACTACTTCTACTGCTACTACTACTACTACTACTACTACTACTACTACTACTACTACTACTACTACTACTGCTACTACTACTTCTACTACTACTACTACAACTCCTCTTTCTCCTCCTCCATAATTTCAGAAGCTGGAACATAAAATGACAGCTAGGTCACAAGCCCAGGATTCCATTCCTAGAAGTACTCCAAGCTTACTAGGAGGATTTTGAGCAAAGCTATGCTTTGCACTTTTCAGGAATGAGATTTCTGTCTGAATTTTAAGTAGGGACAGTTTCACCATTATAATCAACCCCAGATTTTCAGCTGGACACCTTAAGACCCTCTATGATTATTGAATCATCTTAGAATATTAGTGGAAGGGACTCTAACCCAACTATTGTCCAGATGAAAAAATCAAGGGACAGAGAAATTGACTTGCCAATGGTCACGTCACTAGTGAATGCCAAAGCCGGGCACCATGATTTTAGCCCAGTCTTTCTAACTTTCTCACTCATAGTTCTCCTTAAGTACTTGATACTCCAGCCAAATGAGAACAACCCCGTGTCTTGCGGTATGTGTCTGAAAATAATGGGCAGAGGAGCTTGAGTTCAGTTCTGGAATGTTTTATTAAATGGATGGTTTGTAAGCATTTGCAAAGGGAAGTGGTGATCATAAACAGCAAGCATTGTTTTACCAGGAGCAGGTCACACTAGAATAACCTTACTTCCTCTTTTCATTGGGCTAGATTGGCATAGCAAAGGCATTTCATGGGCAAAGTTCTTAGTAAAAATATCTTTCTACTCTCCTTTTTGACTGCACAGAAGGTGAAGACCAGGGCAGATGATAGCAGAATTAGGTAGAACTGGAACCAGGCCTGGCTAATCAAATCTTATTCTCTCTTCACAGCCTAGAGCTAATTGTCACTGAAGACAAGTGAGCTGATGATCTAATTCTCACTAAAGTGGGAAGGGCATAATGTCCAACTTCTCTTGGGACCTTTCCTTCTTTCTTTTTTGCTTTAACCTTGCAATTAAGTCCTTTAAGTCCTTACTCACATTTTCCAAGTTAAAATGGACAGTGCCCTTTAATGTTATTTTTGTTTATATTGCATATTGTTTATATTGTCTTTTGTTTTTCTGTCACCTTCATTTCCAGTATATCCCTTCCCCCAATAGAAAGGTATCCTTTACAACAAAGAATTAAGAGGAAACAGAAGGAGGAGGGGAAGGCAGTTAATTAAAACTAATCAACCCATTTACAGATTGACAGTATATACAATTGTTTCATGCCCATAGTCCTCCATTTCTGCAAAGTCAGCAGAGGGGCACAATTTTTCCTTTCATCTTAAAAGCCAAACAATCATTATTATTACACAGTGTTTAGTTTTACTTCATTTCGTTTGTCTTTTGTTATTATTGCTATTTTCTAGAGAGCTAGGTAGTATAGTAGATAGAGTGCCAGATTCATAGGAAGACCTGAGCTGAAATCCTGTCTTGGGCACTTACTAGCTGTGTGACCCTGGGCAAGTCACTTAACCTCTCTGTGCCTCCATTTCCTCATGTGTTAAATAGAGGTAATAATAGCACTTACCTCACAGGGTTATTTTGAGAGACAAATCAAATTGTGTGTGTGTGTGTGTATAAAACACTTTGCAAACATTGAAGCAGTATATATATATATATATATATATATATATATATATATATATATATATAATATATGTGTTAGTTATTACTATTGTTTTTGCTGTTTTTGTTTACATTGTTGTAGTCCTTATGTGTATTGTTTTCCTGTTTCTATTTACTTTACTTTACATCAGTTTACATATCTTCTAATGCCTCCTTATATTTTTCATAATCATTTCTTGCTCTAATATTAATATTATATTACATACAAGTAATATTATATTACATTCACAAACCACCTATTGTTTAGCCATTTTCCAATCCATGGATATCTGTTTGGTTTCCAGTTCTCTGAGACTACAAAAAGTGCTGCTATAAATATTTTGGTATATATGGAACCTATTTTTGGTCTCCTCACGTAAATTTTAGTTCCTTTCTTAGCATAATTCCAAATTATTGGGGGCACTTTCATTTTCAGAGGACAATCCTAGAGAGAGAATGTCTTAACGCAGAGGAATGTGTATCTAAAGACATAATTTTTTTTTTCATTAGAACACAGTGGGCTGAGTAGGTGGTGGAGACAGGAGAGAAAGGAAAGTAGAAAGGAAGAGACCTTTAAGATATGCTATACAGATGCTTGCTTAATTATATTCAGTTTTGAGCTTCAATTCAAGTATGTATTAGGCACCTAGAAATGCAGGAGATATGTCAGGATCCATTTCCAGGACAAAAAGAGCTTTGCAGACAAATTGGACAATCCGTTCAATACTGGTACAATAGGCCTTTATTTGGGATATTTACGAGAGGGGTATGTGACTAAAATGGAAGCACCTGAGAGAGTATAACTGCAGAGTCAAGGACCACAAGAAAAAAATAGTGGAGCAACCCGGCAACCTACTGAACTCTGGGGCTGGGGCTGGGACTGACACCTCCAAAGGGACACCGGGAAAGGATTCGGCCAAGGAGGCCACGAGGGCATTTCAGGCATTTCATGATGATTTTTCAAGAGGCTCCTTCTAGTTCTTGGTACGTG